GGGAGGTACCGTTATATAGGGGCTACACCAACACGTGCACCTATAATTACAATGTTTCGCCACACGAACTAGGACCCATTATGACCCACAAATACCAACTTTTACACAAATCAGTGAAAAAATGTGGCATAAATCATCAAAATACCGAATATCGGGAGGTACCGTTATATGGGGACTATACCAGAACGTGGACCTATACATGCAATGTTTTGCCACACGCTCAGGGACCCGTTGTGACCTACAAATACCAATTTTCAGACAAATCCGTGAAAAAATGTGGCATAAATCATCAAAATACCGAATATCGGTAGGTACCGTTATATGGGGGCTATACCAAAACGTGGACCTATACATGCAATGTTTTGCCACACGCTCAGGGACCCGTCATGACCTACAAATACCAATTTTCAGATAAATCCGTGAAAAAATGTGGCATAAATCATCAAAATACCGAATATCGGGAGGTACCGTTATATGGGGACTATACCAGAACGGGGACCGATATATCTCATTTTCAATACCAACCATCCTAGGGACAATACACACACTTGTGCCAAATTTCAAAGGTCTACGTCAAATAATGTGGGCTCTATCGTGATTTCAACAGACAGACGGACAGACAGACAGACAGACAGACGGACAGACAGACGGACATCGCTAAATCGTCTTGGAATTTTATGCTGATTATGAATATATATACTTTATGGGGTCTACGACGAATATTTAGAGGTGTTACAAACGGAATGACAAAGTTAATATACCCTCCTACCCATGGTGGAGGGTATAAAAATAGGCTAAACAATTTTCAAGAATATTTGTGGCATATGGAGGTGTGTTGTGGTCGTAGATGATTATGCAAATTTTGGAACACATTAAATTTGAAATGCCGGAGAATGTGCGAGCGTGAGAGTATTATTAAAATGGATTTTAGACAAAATCCAAAATGCAAATGGTTTTAACGGAAAATACGTTTAATTGGATTTCGAGGTGGATGTGCCAGCATATGTTTCGTGGATTTTTAAGAACAATTTTTAATTTTTAATTAAAGACAAACCAAGACATCTAAGTAAATTTATTAAAAAATATTTTATCAGGGACCAACAAATCCATAAGCCAAGATTTTTTGAGGCATGGTATTATAACAAACCATAGAGCCTTAAATTTGGTTATTTTATAAATATTTTTACATGAGCTATTTGATTCACAAACAAGTGGATTTTTATGAAAATCCATTTAAAGCCCAAATAAACCAAACGCGTATTTTTTAAAGATTTTGAAGAAGTTTAAAAGGACCAACACCCGTGAATTTTTTTTTTTTTGGATTTCTATACCCTCAGCCATATGGCTAGAGAGGCCTAGGTCTGTTGGGACCAAATTCGTTTCAGGGTATTTGGAGTCGATCTAGCGTCCGTCTGTCTGCCTGGCTGATGCGCATGATAACTCTCAAAGGGAGTATCCCATTTGGTTAAAAACTTCGTACATCGTAATATTATTATCAAACTTAGATCAAGTTCGGAGGTAGGTGGGGGAGGTAGCAGAAGAAGTGACAGATATTGCGCATCTTCGCGAAATTAACATCCAATTTCATTTAGACTTGGCAAATCTCAATATTTCTATCAATAAAATATCTGTTATAAAGATGATAGATATCGGACCATACCTTTGAGTACCTCCCACAAATAGGGTTCAAGACTTGAAAAACAAAACGCTTCAAATTTCACACATACAAGCATTCTTGCTAATATAGGATATGTTGTAAAGATGATATACAGGTTAGATGAAAAAACTGCAAATAATTTCAGACTGCTGTCATTTCCAAGCCACTCGTCCGACAACTGTTAAAATTATTCCAGTGACAGCTCATTATATTGTTTACAAGCGTACAAAAGCATTTTGATGAGAATTTTCCAGACAAAATTATTCGAGATGGAATTCAAGCGATGATAGAGTGATTTCTTTATATTTGGCTGGAAAACCACAAGTGGCTATCTCTAGAGCACTCCAGCATTTAAATGTGAATAAATCTATTGTGTCTCCTACCATTGCTCGTTAGCGTTGCCTGACGCCAAGGAAGTGGACGGAAGAAAACAGCAACATCAGCAGAAATGGTTCGAAATGTAAAGAAACGACTTGATCGAAACCCTAGTCGCAGTACCCGAAAAATGGCTCGTGAGCTGAACAAATCGCAACATTCCATTCGGCAAATATTGAAAAATGGGCTCAGGGTAAAGCCGTTGACATTCCAAAAAGTGCAAGAATTTACACCGTAACAGAAAGAAAATAGACTTAAAAGAGCTAAAGAGTTGCTTCGCTTGGCCGACAATGGTGAGCTGCCGAATTTGGTTTTCTCCGATGAGAAAACATTCGTTGTTCAGCAGATCGTAAACAAACAAAATGATCGTGTTTACTTTCCAAAGAGTTCAGCTGAAAATATGCACCTTCGGTTGTCCACAAGAACTCAAGCGCCGGCCATGGGGAATGCTGTGGGCCGCTATAACAGCCGATGGTCGCTCTCCGCTCGTATTAATCGACCGTGGCATCAGAATAAATGCCGAATATTAATGCGAAAATATTCTGGAGGGTGTATTAAAACTTTGGGTGGGAAAACATTTTGGTCGAAGACCTTGGACATTCCCACAGGACTCAGCATCATCGCACTCAGCACGCGCTACCCAAGAATGGTTACTAAATGAGGTTCCTCGCTTCATTTCCAGCGCAAAATGGCCACCAAAATTTTCGAAATTTGGAAAGCAAGGTTGGCACTAAAAAATACTAAAGTGTCGATTACCTCAAGCAAGCGCTTCGCCGGGAATTGGCCAAAATACCGCAGAGCAACATTCGTGCAGTGCGTGACGGTTTCATTGGCCGTTTGAGGGCCATAATTCGTCCCGAAGGTGACCAATTCGAACAAACAAACTTATTCTAAAATTTGATGCTATTTCCGACTTTTTTGCTTTCATTCAATAAAATTTAAAAAAATGTAAAAATTATGGCATTTGACTTTGTTCCAGTTTTTTATCTCACCCTGTATAAACCAAAATTGATTATGTTATTATATGATACATTTTAAATATACAAATTTCTTTTATTCAGATTATTGGACTGTTCATCCCTGAATAAATATTCTTTAAAAATCCACAATTATTGACCTATTGGTCCTTTAAAAAATATTTTTTTTTAAAAATCCAAGATGATTTGTCTGTTGGTTCTTTAAAAATATTCTTCAGAAATCCAAGACTACTGGTCTGTTAGTTCTTGAAAAAATACTTTTTATAAATAAAGGTTTATTATTCTGTTGGTCCTTGAAAAAAATTTTAATTATCCAGGATTATTGGTCTGATAGTTCTTGAAAAAATGTATTTTTTATAAATCTGTTAAATATTCTTTAAAAATTCACAATTATTGGTCTGTTAGTCCTTGAAAAAATATTTTTTCAAAATACAAAATTTTTTTTCTGTTGTTCCTTTAAAAATGTTCTTAGAAAACCCAGGATTATTGGTCTGTTAGTTCTTGATAAATTTTCTTTAAAATATGTTTTTATAAATCCAGGATTATTGGCCTTTTGGTTCTTAAAAAAATATTAAAAAAGAACATGATTATTGTTATGTTGGTTCTTAAACAATATTTTTTTTTGTATCCAAAATTATTTTTCTGTTAGTTTTTGAAAACATATATTTTGTTTTTGGTCTGTTACTTCTTGAAAAAATATTTTTTATAAATTCAGGAAAAAAATATTATTAAAAATTCGGTCTTTTCATCTGTTAAATATTCTTTAAAAATCCATTTTTGGCCTCATTAAAATCCAAAAATATTTGTCTGTTGATCCTTTAAAAATGTTCTTAAAACATATTCATATTGTTCTGTTGGCTCTGGAAAAAATGTTTTAAAAAACATTGATTATTAGAATGTTGGTCCTTAAAAGATATTTAAAAAAATCCAAGATTATTGATCTGTTAGTTATTGAAAAAATATTTTTTATAAATTCAGGTCTATTAGTCTGTTGGTCATCGAAAAAAATATTTCCTTAAAAATCCAGGATTATTGGAATAAATAAATAAATATTCATTAAAAATACAAAATTATTGTCCTGTTGGTCCTTAAAAAATATTTTTTTAAATTCACGATTAGACCCTGAAAGAATTTTCTTAAAAAAATACTAGTTTTTGTTTCTTGGTCTGTCAAAAAACATTCTTTAAAATCAAAATAGTTGTGGTCTGTTAGTCCCAGAATATATAAACCTTAAAAATCTGCTAGTCTTTAAAAAAATATTTTGTGCAACAATTTTTTTCAGTAATGGTTTTTTATTTTCACAATATAATTAAAGCTATTGACACAAAATAATTTGTCTGAGATCCGAAATGGACTTTAAATTTATTGCATAATGCTACACCATCGAAAGCCCTTTACCCACTTACTTAGATTTTGATGAGATTACAAGGAAGTAAAATCCATGTTAATATGCCACGTAAATTGCCTACTCCAGTTCAATAATAGTTTGTGGGTTAGAGTTATTTTTATTTTCAATCCGTTTTTCTGTTGCAAATAGCTTCTGGATTTAGCCACAATATTGCTGATTATGATAGTTGTTCTTAATATAACCAATACGAGCAAGCGTCTAAATTAATTACGAGTGGTACGTGCTTAGCGTGTGCTGATATCTGACAATTCCCAAATCGTACAGTGACAACGCTAAGGGAATTTTAAAACGCTTCCACATATAAACATAGCCATTGAAGGAAGGAACGAACGACCGACCGACCGTTGACAACAACAACCCCACCAGAGCGTATTTGTTTATTTTATCATATGAATATTGATGGACTTCTATTTTGCAGTTTTAAAAAAAAAAAATGGCTTCATTTAGAACTCAAGGATGTTTATTCGCATTTATTGTTGTTCGTTTTTTTTTTCTCTTTCGATTCTCTTTTATTGCTCCTATTCTTAGCCAGCATTAGCATTTGTCATGGGAATGGGTTTAGTATAAAAACCCCTTGCCAAACACCGGGTTGGCATCAGATTTCTTTTGGAACTTCTTGAGAATCGAGAAAATCAAAATACACCACGCTTTCAAAATGTTCAAATTGTTCGCTGTTTGCTTCTTGGCTTTGTTTGCCGTCGCTTTTGGTGCTGCTAAACCCGGCTTGTTGGCTGCTGCTCCCGTTGCCTATGCAGCTCCTGCTGTGGCTTATACCGCTGCTGTGCCTGCTGTCGCTGCTGCTTACACTGCTGGCTATGTGGCTCCCTACGCTAGCACCTACAATGCCCACACTGTCGCCCACACAGCTGCCTTCCCTGCCGCCTATGCTGCTGCACCTGTTGTAGCCGCCGCCCCAGCTGCCTATGCTGCTGCCCCCGTTGTCACCGTTTTCAAGAAGTAAATTGTTGATCGATTTGGAATCTTTTGAAATGCTACCCACTTTGGTTTTTATGGAACGAAAATAACAATAAAAATAAAACAAAACTTTAATTAAAGCTCAAAAATATGTTTTCTTAATACGTGATTGACGGGATGGGATGGATTAATTTTCCCACAAAAGGAGTTCCTTTTTAGTACGTAAATTACCCCCTGGAAGAGAATCTATAAAAGAGGGAAACGTTTGTTTGTTTGTAATTTATGGACACCAAAACCGCTGCACAGATTTTCCTGAAACATTGCCTGAAAGTAACATAGGTTATATAAATATTTGAAATTCCATGAGAATCGGAGGTAAATCCCAAAAACTTAGATTTTATTTTTCTCCAAATTTGGAATGCGTAATGGAATTTGAACAAAAATTAATATGCCAAAATATATTTAAATCGGTTCAGATTTGGATATAGCTCCTATACATTTCCGGTAGATTTCCAATGTGATTTGGTAGATTTACGGAATTTGGTCAGAAAATATATTTGCCAAATTATATTAAAATCGTTTCAGATTTGGATATTTGGTACAAAAATAAATTCGCCAAATTATATTGAGATCGGTTCAAATGTTGATATAGCTCTCACATATATTTTCGGCCGATTTCATATATTTGTTGCACAAAACACAACATGTCCATCTGATTCCAAGACGTTTGGAACGGAATTTGGAATAAAAACCAATTTGCCAAATTATATTAAAATCGGCTCAGATTTGGATATAGCTCCCATTTACATTGTCCGATTTGCAATATTTTATGCAACAAACACGATATGTATGACCGATAAAACCAAATGGACTAGCGAAGCGCACCGGGTTCAGCTACTTGTCTATATAGGTACACGTTTTAGTATAGCACCCATATAACGTTACCCCAGGATATTCGGAATTTCGATGGTTTTACCGACATTATTCACCGGAATTGTTTGAAGTTTCGTATTTGAAGTTCGTAATGGATACTACAACATCTTTTGGAAAATTGTCTGCGCAGGTCCACGTCTTTGTAAAGCCAATATAAAATGGTACCTGGTCTCCAGAATTCAAGAGCCAGCCATGGTGATGGTATGGGCCGCCATAACAGCCGATGGTCGCTCTTTGCTCGTATTATCGACCGTGGCATCAGAATAAATGGCGAATATATTCTGCAGCGAAAATATTATGAAGGCTGTATTAAAGCCTTGGGCACGCAAACATTTTGGCCCCAGACCTTGGACATTCCAGCAGGACTCAGCACGCGCCACCGGAGATTGGTAACAAAATGAGCTTCCTCGCTTCATTTCCAGCGCACAATGGCCACAAAAATCTCCGGATACCAATCCGTTGGAGTATTGTGTCTGGAGTATTTTGGAAAGCAAGGTTGGCACTAAAAAATACTAAAGTGTCGATCACCTCAAGCAAGCGCTTCGCCGGGAATGGGTCAAAATACCGCAGAGCAACATTCGGGCAGCGTATGACGGTTTCATTGGCCATTTGAAGGCCATAATTCTTGACAAAGGTGACCCAATCGAACAAATCTAAACTTATTCTAAAATTTGATGCTATTACCGACATTTTTTTCTTTTTATTCTTTTATTCAATAAAATTAAAAAAAAAAATATGTAAAAAAAAACATTAAGTTCGGCCGGGCCAAATTTTTAATACCTTCCACCTTGGGGTAAGGGAAATTAGAGCTTATTATGACCCACAAATACAAATTTTTAGACATATTCATGGGAAAGTGTGTCAAAAATCATCAAAATACCGAATATCGGGAAATACGGCTATGTGGGGCTATACAAAAACGTGGACACATACATGCAATGTTTCGCCACCGGTGCTAGAACCCAATATGACCTACAAACACCAATTTTCAGACAAATCCGTAAACAAATGTGGCAAAAATCATCAAAATACCGAATATCGGGAGGTACCGTTACATGGGGGCTATACCAAATGGTGGACCTATGCATGCGATGTTTCGCCACCGGTCCTTGAACCCATTATGGTCAACAAATACTAGTTTTTAGACAAATCTGTGAAAAAATGTGGTAAAAATAATCTAAATACCGAATATCGGGTGTTACCTTTATATGGGGGCTATGCCAAAACGTGGACCTATGCATGCGATGTTACGCCACCGGAGTTTGAACCCATTATGGTCAACAAATACTAGTTTTTAGACAAATCTGTGAAAAAATGTGGCAAAAATAATCAAAATACCGAATATCGGGTGTTACCTTTATATGGGGGCTATATCAAAGCATGGACCTATACATACAATGACTCGCCACACGAATTAAGACCTATTATAACCTACAAATACCAAATTTCAGACAAATCCGTGAAAAAATGTAGCAAAAATCATCAAAATACCGAATATCTGGAGGTACCGTTATATAGGGACTATACCAAAACATGGACCGATATATCTCATTTTCAATACCAACCATCCTAGACACAACACAAATTGCTCTGCTAAATTTTGGCGATCTACCTCAAATAATGTGGGCTATATCGTGATTTCAACAGACAGACAGAAAGACTGCCGAATTTTATGCTGATTATGAATATATATACTTTATGGGGTCTACAAGGAATATTTAAGGATGTTACAAACGGAATGACAAAGTTAATATACCCTCCTTTCAAAGGTGGAGGGTATAATAAAATTATAGCGTTTGACTTTCTTGCAGCTTTTTATCTCACCCTGCAGATGAATTGGTTAAAAATTGTTACGATTAGCTCGTTAATGTAGAGTATGAAAACGTCGGCTTTCCATTATTTTCCTTTCTTTACTAGGCAGATCAAATCTTCCTTTTCTATAACACATATTCTTCTTTGCTTCTAACTCGCGAATTAAACAAACATTTTTTTGTTGTCTTGGTATCGAAGATCAGGATTTTATTACGTCTCAATTTTCTTAGCACACATCATATAGAAGCTTATAAAAGTTGTCACTTCAAGGCGCAGTTCTTTTGACTTATAATGTGTTGCCTTTACTTTTACACCTTTCAGATTAGTTTTCCAAAAAAATGCTAAAATTAAGACAAGACTTGACTGAAAAAGTCCGCCTATGTGTATAATGATACACATACATACACATTTGTACTTAAAGTCTTGGCATAGCATTATATAATTTAAGCGGCTTATTGCCAGAATTTTGAATTAATTCCAAAAATAACTATAGAATGAACCTTATGATACCTAGAGACAACACCTGTTGTGAATTTATAATAATTTGTTTACGAATTATTTTTTATACATCTTAGTTATTCTTTGTCGCACTTATCTGTAGTTATTCTCTAAAAAAAAATAAAATTATGTATGTACGCCATGACCATGTGGGGGCCTACCAGAATTTGCCATGAAAAAAAATAGATCTAAAGAAGAGACAAAAAATTGTTATTGTAATTTAGAATTGTCCAGTCGCATAGTTTTACTATAAAAACTGTAGCTGTTGGAGGGAATCTTCATCAGTTTCTTCAGAACTTCTCAAGAAAATCCAACAATCCAGCAAAATGTTCAAATTCGTAAGTTGTGGAAGAATAATTTTGAAAAAAAAAATGGCTAATAATTTAAACTTATTATTTTTACTGGCCACAGTTCGCCATCTGCTTGTTCGCCGTCCTCGCCTGCGCCATGGCTAAACCCGCCGTTGTTGCTCCCTTGGCCTACTCTGCCGGCTATGCTCCCTACACTGCTGCCTATGCTGCTCCTTACACAGCTGGCTACGCTGCTCCCTATGCCGCTGCTGCCTACTCTGCCTATCCTTATGCCTCGACTTTCGGCGCCTACCCTTATGCCACCGCTTTCCTCCGTTAAAGTTTGATACTTTTATGGAAGTATGCTTAACAATCTCCTAAAGACAATGGCTGGATTTAAAGGATAATGATGAAAAGGATATCGGAAATAATTGGTTGCAGTGTAGTTTTAAGTTTTTTATTTTTGTGTACCTTAAGACTCATTTTTTGAGTTTTTTTTTTTTTTTTAATTGGAAATATAATTGAAAATTTTTTAAAAATATATTCAGAAGCCTTTATACAAATTCAAAAGAAAACAAGTAAGCAAGGCTACAGTCGAGCGGGGCCGACCGTTGAATACCCTACAATACTATAATAAACGATACAGGCGAGATACTCGAAAGAATTCCACAAGATATTGTGACAAATAATAAAAGAAAACCATTAGGTTCCGTTCTCTAATTTTCGAATAATAGCAACTTAAACTAATTTGCTCATTTCCAATTTATTGGTAGATGTTGCACGTAAATGGTCTTCCTAGATCTGGAACCAATATTTCCCAAAGACCTATAATCTCCAAGAAGTGGCAAAAGACTAACATTTATTATTGGTTTTTGGCTGAAACACATCTATATGAGATATAGACATTTGACTATATTCTTCAACGAAATCAGCGTTAACGAAATAATCGGAAGTGCGTCTTTTCTGTATTTGTGAATTCTCCAAAAAGTCACTGGAATGGACATTTTCGTATTTTGTCTACAAAAGTTGGCAAACTATTTCATACATTGAATATTTTTGGATGGCCATCCAAAACTGCTTGGCTTTTGCAATGTCCGGTAACCCCCATTCAAATGTGCGCAAGGATCGGGCGATAATTACGACCTGCTGACAATTTTGCAGCTTATGGTCCAATTAAACGCCTAAATATATGGCGATCATCTCCAAAATAAATAGGCTTCTATTCTGACCCTCATCTTATCCCCATGCAAAATTTCATAAGGATGGGGCCATAAATGCGATCTGTATATGATATCCTGATATCTTAACTACTTAGTTTTGTTAGCTGTAGAAATATTAACAAATGTTTAATTCAAAATGAAAATTCGCCAAAAATATGACAAAATTGAAAAAATATGAGAAAATCTTACAAATCCAATATTTTCATCTTTAGAGAGATATTTTTATGCGATTTTTTAGAGGTTTTTTCTTTCCTAACAAGAGGCCATTCTGAATTAATGAGAACTGTCGAAATCAGTTCAGCCGTTCTCGACATATAAGATATCTTTCAAGCATATCTTCTTTGATAGACATACATAGCACATATTTTGTTATATATCCGATTTGTTGGATGTTAACATCAATGTAAAGGTTAGAAGTAACCTCGTCATGGCTTTGTGATCTCGAAAGGATTTAAAATATCGACGGTTTAATGAAAAATTTAGATTTTTTTTCAACACAAAATATATGGTCTATTTTACATGCTAAATATTATCCGATGACCGCCCAAATTGGTAGGCTTCTTCCCCGCCCTAAACTCTAACTACATGCGAAATTCCGATTCGATTGGTCTATAATTGCGATCTGTATAGCTACTGCAAAATCCGACATTTTTTCAGTATTTGGTCCATTTTAACCCCTAAACATTTAGCGATCATCTCCAAAAGAAATAGGCTTCTATTCCGACCCCAACCCCACCTTCGTGCAAAATTTCGTAAGGATCGGGCCATAATTGCGACCTGTAGCGTGATTACAAATTAACATGGACAGACGGACGGACATACATAGCTAGATCGACTCGCTCGGCGAGCTAGGAAGATCCATATATACTTTCCTATATGGGAAACCAATGTTTCGAGGTGTTACATAAATTCTGGCCCAATCAAACTTATAATACCCCCAACACATAGTGTTGTAGGGTATAAATACGAAATTTGAAACAATTCCGGAGAATAGTGTAGCTAAAATCATCAAAAAGTAGAATGTAAGGAGGTACCGTTATATGGGGGCTATACGAAGACCTGGATCTACATAGACTATTTTCTGTCATATGTAGACTGTAGTAGCCATTAGGAACTTCGGACAGACAGACGAGGGACGGGTAGCGTTTAATCGACATAGAATTTTTGACAAACTTAATACCATGGTGGAGGGTATAAAAATAAATGTTAATAAAATCCGAATCGAAATCCCAAATTATGACATCTTGTAGGGGAGGTACAAGAATGAGTGGATCAATATTATCTATTTTCATACCTGATCTAAATATTATCTTTGGGGCAATCGTACATAGCAAGATCGAAACCACATAACCCAAGACCGTTATTGCAATGAGGCAGGTTTTCTCTCCATCACACTATAGAGGCTATATTAACGTTGTCATTCCGTTTGTAACTCCTCGAAATATTCATGTCTGTCTGTTGTAATCACGCTGTCTTTCGAACGAATCCAGACAGTAGGCCAAAATTTTGCAGACATAAATATTTTGCCAGTAGGCAGGTTAAGTTCGTAAATGGGCCATGTAGGTCAACGTTTTCCCCGTTATAGCCCCCATATAACGGTACCTCCCGATATTTGGTATTTTGATGATTTTAGCGACATTATTCACCGGAATTGTTTCAAATTTGGTATTTGAAGTTCCTAATGGATACTTCAGCCAATGACAGAAAATTGTTTGTGCTGATCCATGTCTTCGTATAGGCCCCATATATCAGTATCTCCCTATATTCGGTATTTTGATGATTTTAGCGACATTGTTTACCGGATTTATTTCGAATTTGGAATTTGAAGTTCGTAATTTATACTACAGCCTATGACAGAAAGTTTACTATGCAGGTCCAGGTCTTCGTATAGGCCCCATATAACAGTAGCCCCCTATATTCGGTATTTTGACGATTTTAGGTACAATACTCACCGAAATAGTTTTAGATGTCATATTTGAAATTCGAAATGGATGCTACAGGCTGTAACAGAAAATTGTCTATGCAAGTCCAGGTCTTCGTATAGCTTCGATGTAACGATACCTCCGTATGTACGATAATTTGATGATTTTTGTTACATTATTCACCGTTTATTTCAAGTTTCGAATTCGAATATGGTAATGGCCTATGACAACCAAAGCCTATATAGGTCCACGTCGTATAGACCGAAATATAACGGCTATATTCGGTATTTTTAAGATTTTAACATTTTTAACGGATTTTCTTTTTGGAAAATTTCCAAATTTGTTCAAAAGGTGGAGGGTATTCAAAGTTCGGCCCGGCCCAACTTACTGCTTTTTAACTTGTTAACATCCCAAATTATGACATCTTGTGGGGTAGATACAAGAATGAGTGGATCAATACTTTCTGATTGAATACCTGACCTACACAGCAAGATCGATTTTTTTTTTGTCTTTTTTGGGCTAAGATCCAATTAGAACTTCTATTGCCAGATAAATTAAATTTGTCAAGACCTTTCTTCTGCTCTTAGAATGGATGATTCCAAATTTTAATTCTTTAGGATATTTATATGAAGATTGATATTTGTAGCCTGTCAGAGCAGCCGATTATGTTTAATACATTTATGAGTGTTTTTTACAATTATTTTATTAATCATATATTCAAAACACCACTACTGTTTTTCACCACCAGACTTAATGGCTGCTACACTAAAATAAAAAAAATTAAATATTTCTCAAGTCCATTCAATTGTCAGTTTGGACAATTTTTCGATTGTTGTAAGCAGACATAAATTCAAAAATACGACTACAATGCGCGCCAATTTTAATGTCAGCCGATACTAAAGTTATCGCATGTAGGTAGTTACGCATGTGTGTACACACGATTGTGGGCCCATAAAGTATGTGGCCGTAAAAATGTTCCAATTGTCAACACTTATAAATCGTGGGTAATTACGGCAAAGGCCGTTCATCTGAAAAGTCACAAAAAAAAAAAAACAAATACAAAATAAAAAAGTTTTAAAAACAAAATAACAATTTATTGTTTAAACATTTTTTTTATTCTTTTTTAATACGAACATCTACGGCCACTGGCCATACCTGATCGGCATGCTAATGAGGACCATTGTAAATGCTGGAGTGTTATTGTACTGCGCCCGCTGATGGAGAAGGTTCTTTTTTGGCATGTTATTGTGTATGTGTTGTGGTCTTAAAACGTTAGGGAAACACTTGATCGTAAGCATTTCAAAGCAAAGGTGTTTGAACAGACGAAAACCTCGTAAATACTATAATAGTAAACGCCAGCGCCTTTTCGGAACCGGAACAAAATGTTTTCATTTTCACTCCCGAATATGGTTGTGGACAGAAGCAATACGAGTCGTCATGTGCTATTGACACAATTATATGCTCGACTACTCATTAGATAATTGTTTTATTATTCCGTTCAGCAGTAAATATTTCTTCGAGAGATCGCTGATATTTTCTCTGTAGGAAATTAAAAAATACCAGTGACTCATCCCCGGTATGGGGAGTAAAGGTAATGACGCGTTTTTGTTATAATTAAAATTGTAATATGTAAATGCTAAGAAGATATTTCTGGAATGTGTGCAAGCTTTGTTCGCATTGGAGTTGCCATATGACTGCCGATTGTGCCCGACCAAAAATTGTGATCTATCTGTATTTTAGTAAAAATTTAACGTACAATAGAAGAGATAGGATTCCTTTTTATAGGGAGGGACGTTTTTTATACAAAAGGAAGAAAGGGTCCTTAATTTAGAAAATTGTTTGAAAGTGACAATTGCTATTAGAGAGGCGAATTCCACTTCTTTTTTAATAAAAGACCCGATATACAACTCGTTTAATATAAAAAAATCCTTTCCAAAAAATGAAATTATTATTTTTTAAGGCAAAATACTAGCTATAAAAGAGTTCATTTTCTATAAGGAATAATCCTTTTTTAGAAGAAAAAAAGCCTGTTCTACAAGAAGGAAACAATCTTTAAAAAATAAAATTTTGCCCTAATAGCGATACCTTTTCATAAATACGTTCACTTTTCATATGAAACACTCTTTTTATGGAATTTTTATTTAAATAATAAAAAATAATTAATTTTATAAGAAAGGACACTGTCAAGAAGTTCGTTCATTTAGAAAATCACCTTTATTTAAGAAAGGAAGCTTTCCGCAAGTAGTAGGCCTTTCCTTAAGAAAGCCTCCTTTGTATTTAAGAGGATCCATTGTATGTGAAGGAAGTGAAAAGGAC